AAAAAGAATGTGAGAAAACACGAGACTATATTAAGATTTGTAAATAAACGTGCTATTAAACAGAGAAAACAATTTTTTCCACTTAATCTTTGTAATCTTCTTCAATTAGGTTTAATTTCTTCAAAAAAATTACTATTAAAAATAATTTAATATTATAGCATAGCGTTCAACTTACAAAGTATACAAAGCACACATAGCATTATTCATAATAATTAGCAGTTGCAAAAAAAAATGGCACAAAACCAATCCACATCAAATAAAAAAATAGACCTTGAACGCCAAGCAACGTTAGCATCAGATGCGACTGTAACCATAAAAAAAATAAAAAATGTCGATGATCAGATTGTTACAAACAATAGCTCGCAATCGTCTAACGGTACTTTATTACATGGAATTGAATTATATTTGGTTGTTTTTGGGTTCGTAGAGATTAATTTCCTGTTGTTCTAATTAAATGATCAAATTATTAATTTAGTTTTACTTACCATGTCATAGTCTAGCATGTGCTGTATTTTTAGCCTCCTTAGATGAAACGATTGTTTCCACCGCTTTACCTAAAATAATTTCTGATTTGAATGGATTGGATCAAATCGCATGGGTTGCAACTTCTTATCTACTCACAGCGGTAAATAATATTATACATTGATTCCACTTCGTTCGAATTGACACTCACGTGAATCATGTTATCGACTCAGACTTCCTTTCAACCAATCTATGGAAAATTATCGGATATTTTTGGTCGTAAAACAACATTCTTAGCTGCAATTATCATCTTTGAATTAGGCAGTTTGTTATGTGGTGTTGCTACCAATATGGTAAAATAACTTATCTTTTATTTTTCATTTTCTCAATTCTTAATTTAAATATTCATCATTTTTTTTTTTTTTAGGTTTCACTGATAATATTCCGTGCAATCTCTGGTATCGGAGGTGATGGTATAATTGGGTACGTACTTGATTGCTGTATCATTTTTATCAAATTTTTATGCATGCTAAATTTTTAATTTTTAATTTTCTTTTTTAGTCTCGTCTTAATTATTATTTCAGATATTGTCAGCTCTAAAGATCAGGGAAAATACCAGGGCACTATGAGTGCATGCTATGGCGTTGCTTCCGTTGCAGGTCCTCTCTTGGGTGGTGCTTTGACTGATCATATCAGTTGGAGGTACGCATGTCAAGGGGTTACCTTATTTGGTGCAAAAATTTTAATAATATTATTATCGTTTTATATTATGTCAATCGTAAAACTCACACCACTAAATTTATTTTCCCCAAAAAATAGATGGTGTTTTTTCATTAATCTTCC